CTGAAGAAACTGGCTCCCTGGGAACATGAGGAAACTATAGCTATTGCAGTCAGCCTTGGATTACTTGAAGGAAGCAGAATAATCCAGACCGAGCTGGTACTTGCACAATAGAAAACATGTACAATAGGTTATAGGAACATGTAACAAAGGTGTAACAGAGCTGAGATCATTGAGTCTGTGTTGCCACATGGCAATGTGCAGCAAACTCAGGTTTGGAGGTACTGTCCTGCGCAAGCAGTGTGTCTGAGGGCACTGGCCCTTGGACCCTGTCTTTAGCAGAGGGAGGGCTGCCCAGCATGAAGGGTGGGCACAGGCTGCTCCTGCAGGCAGCTCACATCTCCCTGCAGCCCAGTCTGCCCATGAGTAACTGAGGTGAATATAGTACCATGGGCTTTGGAACAAGTCTTGTGTTGAGGTCCTTGGAAAAAAAGAAAGAAGGTTTAAAAACAATGATGTGAGGGAGTGAGGTAGCTTCTCTTGAAGGGATCTCGGATCTTGATGATAAAGGATCAAGACCAAACCCTGGGACTGGGTCTGTGCTGTGTCTTCAGGACACACAGCCTGGGACATGGCAGGCACTTGGGTGTTTCTGTATGTGCCAGGGTTACCTAGGGAACATCTGGGTATATTACTCTGGAATATCTCCTTTTCTGCTGCAGGAGAGGAAACCTGCCCAAGGCTCTAGCAGCTGAAGTGTGAAGCGTGGGTAACTTTCTCTTTGCTTGCAAGTTGGGCATTGTGGTGTTTTGGATATTCTGGGCTGCCTGCCCTTTTGATTTAAAAAAATTCCCCTTGTGTTCCTGCTTGAACACTGAATTACACAATTTACTGTGGTAGTTAACTGGTTTCCTGGTGTGTTTCAGTGAAACAGTTTCTGCACAAGTACAGGACTAGTTTACTACTGACGTTTCCTGCTCCCTTTCTGGTTAAATGTCAGTCTGACCCCAAAACCAATTCTGAAAGATGTTTTTTTTTTTTTGAAATATCTAAGATGCTGCGGAAAACCTCCAGACTTGTGTCATCCCTGATCTGAACTGAAAGTACATGGCTGTTCTGCTCCCCAGACAAGAGAGATGATTTGCAGCCAGTAAAATGCTGTTTCACAATCTCAGTGACATGTCCTGACTGAAAAACATCTACATGCTGAGATGATGTTTTAAGTAGACATAAGCATACTAAAGATAGAACCAAAGCAAAAATCTGGTGTGCATTATAGGAGAGTTGTTTGAGATAATTAGTGGAATTTCAAGGCTTAAAGGTGTTTGGTTACAGCAGATACTGTTGCCTTCTATCTAAATGAAAGCTGCTAAAAGGATCTTAGCCATAACATTGTGCCAAGAAATACAGAGCAAAGGGAGGCAAACAAAATTAATCCCAGCTTGGTTTGTGCAAACATACAATAAGGAACATGAACAAAGGTTTGGGCTTGGTTATGTCAACACATTTTGTATATTAAAACATAGTGTGTTTTCTTTCAATAATGCTGCATAATTGAAATGCAAACTTCTTAAAGGTGCAGCTTCTCTTTGGAGTACTTGCCTTGGTCCTGTTAGTGCCTGAAGACCCTATGATGGGGCAGAGCCCTGTAAAACCAGGTCAGTAAGAAACCAGCTCTGCTTTAGATGGTTTACGGATAGAGGAGGAAAGAGTCATTTTTCCATTCTGTAGCTAAAAATGCAGGGTGCCTCAATGAACTTTTCAAGGTGTCCATCTGTACCTCAAAATAAAAACTCTGAATGGTCATGTGTTGGTTTTAAGGACTTTTCCCCCCGGTATTGGTTAAACTGAAATAGTTGCTTTCCCTTTTTCTTCCAAGATTTCTTTTTTTGGTCCTTAATGCTTGGCTGGCCCCCCGGTAGCAGGCAGGCAGACGGAGCTCTCTTCAGAGCGGGCAGGCTTCCTCTGTTGATGTGATTTTTTTCACTCAGTTTGTACACGGTGAATGCCCAATCTCGCGGGTTTCGGTGTAAACGATCCCTCGAGGCAGATCCAGAGTACGAGAAGGGAAACGCGGCCCGGCTGCTGCCAGGGGCTCGGCACTTTCGAGTCCCTTCCCACAACCGTGGCTTAAAACTGAGCAAGCTTTTTCTTACACGCATTTCCTTTTTGACAGTGAAAATCCCTCAGAGTTGTTCTTAGAAATGTATAATTATTTAAATAAAGGCAGGTGCGGGGTATGGGCCCGGCGAACCCCTTACTCGGAGACGAGCCATTTGGCGATCTGAAAGCGGCGCAGGGGGGGGGTGTCTCTGCGGGGCTGGATTTTGCTCTTTGTTCGCTGTTCGGCGAATCCCCGCTCCCAGGGGCCCTCTTACAGCCCGAGGGTTACGGTCGTCTTTATTGTTGTTAATTATTTTACCTCTTTCAAGCCCCAAGCGGCAGCTGGCGCGATCACCCCCCCCACACACCTTTTGTTGTGCTAATTCCCGGGCGGGGAGGTGGGGAGCGCAGCCCGGGGACCCCCGGGCCGGGCCGCGGATGCCGCC